GCTTCACATCAACTCCCGCTGTTCGGGTATCTGAGCCTCAAAATTCTAGGAAGGGAGAAAATAATGATTCCCTTTTTAACTTTTCATATTCTCTTTCAGTGGGTGTAGGAATACAGGACCAGTCCCAATGAATTTATCAAGAATATCATATTCTATAGTTGTATTTTTTTGGAAGCTCTTCAGTAAGATGCTATGTCAAAATCATGACAGCAACAAAGTTTGAAAAAAATGAATCATAACAGCTCAAAAATCTAAAAGGCCAATAAAAAGAATCTCATATTTTGAAGAGTGCTCATAATTTTTAAGCCAACAATTATACTCTGTGAGTTCAAAACACCTGGGGGGAAGGTTGCCTCATCATTCCTGAATGTTTATGCTGGAGATACTGGCAGTGTTGAACAAAGCCTAAGAGCTACTCTGAGAAGAAAGAAAATGTGGAAGAACACGAAGTCTTGGGAGAGTTTCTGTGACCCAGTACTCCAGTGGGATTGTTTTATGTTTTGAAGTCTCCTTTGCAACAGGGGAGAAACTTACTAAACAGAAGCAGATCTCGTCAAGTGGCAGGTGATGGGTCTCAGTGATCAAAACTTAGTTTAAGCACGAAAATACCATGAGTCTTTACAACTGTTGCCATTCTAGTAATTTTGGGGGAGATTTTGAGAGTCATGTAAAGGGTCTGCAACTGTGTTACAGCGCAGCAGAGCTCCAACACTTTGCTGCTAACCAGAAGTTAAAAGAACATTTTCAGGCAGTCGCATTAAAACATTTACAGTCATAGAAATATTCTGTTGACACTGAGCATCGTGAAGATCATTATGTTCACACTGTTGACAAATGGGGTTTTGACAGATTATTCACGGGCCCAAGGTGCTTGGACCCAGGCTCTGTGGGACCATATCATTGCGAGCAGGAGCTTCCCGGGTCACACTGGTGGCTGCACCGAGGGCTTTGCAGGGTGGCCCTGGCCTAGGGAAGAAACCTCTAGAGGGCAAGATTCAGCCAAGTGTGAGAGAAACAAAAAGCGGTGATTGAGGACGCACCTAAGATGTTTGCCATAACGCCACTTGTGCAATGTGTCCTCAAGTTAAGACAGAGAAAACAGGCTTGAGAAAGGGGAACTGCCAACTATTATTTTAATACTTGCCCTCTTCTCTCCACAATCCTCAAGCAAACAAAACAAACTGGAGCACATAGCAGAATAAAATATAAAATATTTCTCTTGCATGTTTGGGAATATAATCTAAGGAAGGGTAGAAGAGCTGCAATATCAGCTTCTAGATGCATCTTTAAGTATAGGCATTCAAATTAGGATTTTAGGAATGCCAATGGAGTCCAGCATTTTAGCTATTTCACAAATCAGCTATGAAGTATCAAAAAGGCAAACTGGTCCCCAAACACACCTGAAAGCAGAAATTTTCCTTTTTCTGTAGGGACCATTCAGGACACAGTCACTAGCTAACTTCTTCCATGGCACAATCCAGACTGTTCACTCAAAACCAGAATCACTCAAATCTGGTAAAATCCAATGCCCATTCCAAAGTTTGAAGTTATTGAAAGGGAATGTGCATCCTGTTATATATTAGTTTCCTGAAATAGATAACTACTAGGCTGCGTGGCTGACTGGGCTAAACAAATTGTAACCCAAGACTCCTCTCTTATCCCCCCACCCTATTCCCCATTAAAAAAAAATTATGTTCGTATTAGAAACTATCAATTATGAAGAAAATAGTACATACAGTTGTAAGCCAGCTATTGAGCAGACCTTTTATAAATAAATCCTGCTGCTGAGAAAGTTTGAGTGCTTATATAACCATGCACGAATCCTCCAAATGTTTCTTTGCTTGTGGCCATTGGTTTCAGTGGTCAGTATTTCTATCCCAAAGGCAAAGAAGATTTTTGGTTGTCTCCCTTTATATGCTCAGTGACCCAGAATACATGAAAACAGGATTGGCACCGTCTCCTTATGACTTGTTTTGTGGCCAGTTGAGGCTGTCTCTCGGGCTGGCACTGCTGAGTTTCTTCAGCACAAAATGAGGACGAGATTGCAAGAGAGTCACTACTGCAGACCCACTCTTTAGAGGGACTGGACTCAGGACTCCCAAGGCTTCTTGCTCTTGAAATCCATGATCTTCTGTGAAGATCAAAAAGGGGCTCCACAGAAGAAAGAGGCATGAAAGTTTGATGGAGCCAAGATCCTAATTGGCAACAAACAATGTCATATTTAGCATTAAGCCCATCTCTACTGGGCACATAGGGTTTTCTTTCTGAACACGGGCCTCAAGCTAGAAATTAAAACACACTAAACACAAGATTTATTTCTACCCTATATTCTAGAAAAAGGATATTGAATAAACATATATTTATATGTTTATAGCCTCTCCTGACATAATTTTCATTTTCTAAAGTTCAAAGCTTATATGTTCTCCTCTCTATTCAAATGAAAGACAGGACTCAAAAGTCCTACCCAGAAGCAAAATATTTTTAGCTACATGTGATAGTGATTTTTTTACAGAACAAAATACTAGAAAAGTGGTCCTGCTTGTATCATTTTTGGTCTTCTAGTTCTCCTCACAAAAAAAAAAAAAAAAAAAAAAAAAAAACCTTTGAATCGCTTGCACGTTTGTCCATAACAAAGGAGAATCTGCCTTGTTTTTACATAAGGAACATCAATGGTTTGTCTTTGTTGTGTGACTTTGTTGTGTGTGGCGTGACAAAAAATATGGAAGCAGGCTATTGCTAGAGCCTAAAACCCTGGAGGAGGATGGGATTTTTGGTGAGGCTTTAAACTATAGGCTTTTTGTTTACATTCTGTTTAAGAAAAGCTTCTGAGAAACTTTTGAGTAAAAACATGTTACTGCATTACCATGCTTCCCTGTTTGCAAGCTCGTGCCTTCTGCACTGCAAATGTGAGCTTTCAGCAACCCACCAAAAGGGCAGGTCTGGGATCCAAGCCCATGACATAGCCTTACAGCTCCCTCCTGTCTGAACTCACACCCCTCTGAGGGAAGATCTGTCCTACAAGCAAAAAACCTGGGCAGAAAAGTTCTGCCTGGTGCTGGCAATGGTGCACACACCAACCAGAGGGACAGAATTAACTAGAGAAAGGACCTTCTTTGACTTTCAGTAAACACACAGTGCATCCTCTCTAGTCTACCACATGCTTTTCCACGCTGTCACAAAATGCGACAGTCCTGCTTTTGAAAGACAAACAGATTTTAAAACTGAAAAAGTTAAAGCCAACACATTCACACATGGTCATGTCTCCTGAATAAAGACACAGAGAAAGAAATTTTCCTCTTCCGCATTTCTATCCAATTTGCCATTTCCTTGAGGAAAAGAAGAAACCCAGGAAAAGCTAGTTGTGCTTTGCCTCATCAAATTTGTGTATCTAAGAAAAGAGGACAGCACTGCTGAGAAAAAGACCCACATACCTGCAAGAGAGTCGGCCGAAAGCCCCGTCACTGGGCCACGCGCTAGGCGGCAGCTACGTGTCAGCAAGGCCCGTCGAAGCTCCTGGGGATCTGACGATGGTTTCTAGAGTTGGCCTCCTTTGGAGCAGCCAGAGGAGATTTCCAAATGAAGTTCAGGCAGATGTCAGACATCCTCTTTGTATCACAACGTATCATAATGTATCAGGGCTACAAGGATGATCAGGGGCCTGGAACATCTGCTGTGTGAGGAACGACAAGAGGGAGCTGGGCCTGTTCAGCCTGGAGAAGAGAAGGCTGAGAGGGGATCTAATCAGAGTCTGTAAGTACGTCAAGGGAGGCAGTGAGGGGGATGGTGCTGGCCTCTTTTCACTGGTGGCCCCCGACAGAACTAGAGGGAATGGCCACAAACTGAAGCACCAAAAGTTCCACAGGAAATTAAGGAAAAATTTCTTAACAGTGAAGGGGACAGAGCCCTGGAACAGGCTGCCCAGAGAGGATGTGGAGTCTCCTTCTCTGGAGATCTTCAAAACCCACTTGGACGCAGTCCTGTGCCACGTGCTTTAGGTGACCCTGCATGTGCAGGGGGGTTGGACTAGATGACCTCTAGAGGTCCCTTCCAACCTTAAGCATTCTGTGATTCTACGATTCTATGATAACCTGTTTCGCTACAAAAATCCCCATGCTGCCCTGTGGTGGGAGAGATGGCAGGCACCATCCTTCAGCAACTGGGCGGAAATACTGGGCTCCCCTCTACAGGGCTGAATTAATGTCAGACCTGCAGGAGGTCGTACAACAGTAGTGATCTCATTCGTGCACTTCTGTTTCTTTTGCTGCTAGAAGAGCAGAAGAAAGACAAAATACCTATAAGACCTTTTTTTTTTTTTTCTGACATTTTTCTCAATCAAAAGAGTCCACCTGAGCCTAACTCATGGTAAAACAAAGTATCTCTTATTCTTCTGTTCATACAGAAGCATGGTTATTCTCTAACCTGTCACCTGGAAATTTCTAGGTTTTTTCTATAGAATGATTGCCTTAAAGAAAGAAGTTTGAATTTTTATTTATTTTTTCTTTTTTTTTTTTTTTTTTTTTTTTGCAGTGTAAGTTGTTTTTTATCTTGTACCTTTTTTGGTCTTAAAAATGAGTCAAGTTTTATTTTTAATCACACTTTTATTGTCTTTTTCAAAAACTCAAAAAACCCTTAAACAAATCACATATTATACTGCTCTATTTACACAGCAGAGTTTTTAATATCTTATGTAAAACATACATATTCTGAAGAAGCTTTCTTTAGGAAAGAAGACTATTTTTAGCCTTCTAATGATGGATAAATCTTCATTATTGATGTAACGCTTAAGGGAAAAAAACAATTTCTAGAGGCATTATATATCAAGATAAGCATGCAGATAAAGCCTATTCAAATTATTTTAAACAAAAAAAAGAGAAAACCCAAGTATTACAATAGCTTAAGATAACACACTATACCACACACGTTACATGATAAAACTGATTATTTTTCATGAACGTTAGTTATCACAATTGGATCCCAAAGCAAAGATATATTTTTTAAATGTTTTGAACATGTTATTTGGAATATTCATTTCTTCTTGGCAATTAGTTTGTCTTCATAGTTGACTGGGATTATGCCGCTGCATTCTTCTTTCTTTGATACTGGATGCTTTAAAAAAGCACGTCTAATTACATCAATATCACGTCCTAAATGATCCATCATGGTCGATACAATCGAAGGTGGGCCCTCAAAGTCTACCAAAAAATACCTGCAATGACAAACATACACACAATAAAACAAAAGACCTGCACTCCCAAAACTTTAAGTCAAATCACTCTTCTGCGAGATTTCTTAAATCAAATTTTCCAATTATTTCCTAAATGTTAGTCTCCAAATTGTTTTTGAAGAAAAGCTCGGCATTATTCGGATTTCAGATATGAGCAGTTCAGTTGCAGCAGGCTCAGCCTGATCTGATCTGTTGTGTAGCACTGCTGACATGAAGAGCTCGAGGGCAGCTTGCTCTCCTCTTACCCACTCCATTCATCTACACACCTCCACTCGAGCAGTTTAAAACCGGAAGGTGGCACGTTCATTTCGGTTACAACGTGCACTCTCCTTCTCTGAATTTACTGCATCTTTCATGGGGGCAACTTTCCCATTTGATATTTGGAGGATGGAGCCAGGTCACAGGTGTCAGTGTGAAACATCTCAGGTTCATATGTATATGGGCATGCTTCTTCTTTAGAAATCTTGCTCCAGAGCTGAATGGATATTAATACACGTGCACAGGCACAGCAGAAGCAACAAGGAGATGGACGGAGGCCAAGTTAGGCACATCTCCATGTGAACACGGCTTAAATTTCCCAACTGCGGGTAGGAGCTGCCAGCTTGTGCATTTGGCATTTGAGGAGCTTGCTGTCTTGCTGACCCTGGCAGCAGTGAAAAGCTCTTACTTCCACACATGCAGAGCATGTGCAAAACATGCTGCTCCAGGTAAATAGTGTCCACGACCTACTTATCTCTGACAGATATAAAGAGAAAAGCTCACGTACTGCAAGTAGAGCATTGCTCCACGTTAATATGAGGTCACTGCAGTTACTTCTGCAATAAATTCCTTTGTTGAACAACTGCACTTTGTTCATGAGCTCAATTTTAATTTTGCAAGAGGCTTTCAAGTCTCCAGCACACGTGAGCAAGTGATATGGCCTCCAGGAGTTCATGAGCAGTGAAACCGCCTCGTTTCAGATTAGGAACCGCGACCACACACTGACTTACTCTCAGACGTGTGAATTCAGATCCCTTATCTTAACATGAGATATACCTTCAATTCATTTGCAATGTAATGTCTACTGTTCCGGCAAGTTCTGCGTGGCCAACTGCCAGCCGTTACATTCATATAGAAAATAATGATGTTGTCTATCTCTCCTCCACTGAAATTCTCTGGATGAAGTGGCATTTTCAATCCAAATGCAATCAAGAAAACTTTTTGGTCAGTCAATCTGCATTTGTCATGGCCCTAACTCCAGTATAGTATAAAGATACTGTAACAGTTTCTCAGAAATCCCATTAAAGCAAACTAACTGCTCGCCTTGTTTCCAAGACCAGCAGTACTTCAAAGCTTCCCATTTAGCCATTTCTCTCTAATCTTTATGAATCCTCTTACTAAATCTCCCCGTTCCTCCTTGTCCATGCCAACACACCTTCCCTATTCAACTGAAGGGTCAAGATAACATGAAAGTGGCATCCCTTAAATGAAGTCACATTACATATGAAAAAAAAACAAAACAAACCAAAAGAACCACTCCCAAATCTCTTGTGCCCAAACAGGATTGATTTAAAAATTCTCCCTAAGCCCAGGATTTTGTTCTACAAGAGGTCCAGGTTCTTATTAAGCCAAATATACCGTGAACATCACCTGCTACAGTCCAGTTTGTAACGATAATCTTAAATGGTAAGTCCCCAAGAACAGAAATGGAATAGGGACGAGAAGAGGAAATACAGGAGATGGGCTCATCAACAACAAAAATGCAAGGTTTTCACGCTGCTCCCCATGTGCAGAGCTAATTCTCATGCGAGTGAGTTACACAGGGTGATATCAGAAGATTCGCACACAGAGCAGCAGGTCAGAAATGACTCAAGCTGGACGGCCGCACAGGGGTGGGACCTGCGCATGGAAAACCCCACGGAGGAGCTTTTCCACAGCCAGACATGCTGCTGGTGGCGTTCTGCTGAGGGTGCCTACACCAACAGCCCCAGCTGAGCTCTGGAGTCCTTTTCAGAAGGACCAGACGGAAGCACGGAGCTCTCACACGCGAGGGCCGCGCTGAAGCAAGCAGGCCTGCGTGCACAGCTGCCCAGCTGGCGCGGGCGGCGCGGAGCGTCACCGACGCCGGGGCAGCGGTGCCAGCTAAGGGGCATTTGCTCCTCCAACTGCAGTGGGGCTATTCAGAGTTGCGCGGAGTAATTGGCCTTAGGAGAGGCTTGGCGGTACCATGGCCTGCTTAGTCCTCCGTGCAAATCCTCAAAGGCTTCAGCGGGGTACAGGACTGGGCTTAATGTGTTTCAGAAACTGAGCTGCCTGCTGTTCTCCGGCCTTCAAAAATAAGAGAAGTCACCCAGGCACGACTTTAAGGAGAAAAACAATTTTTAAGCTCAGACGATGCATTAGAAATACTGCGCAGCAACTGCTCAAGGATGCACACCCTGTGAAAAGGCGCATTTTCTGTTAAAGCCATTAAAAGCCATTGGTAAATTTAACAGATGCTGCTTAAATCTTCTCTTTTGGAAGAACCTTCCAAATCCTCTTACAGTTGCAACTAATAAAACAGGGGGAGGGGGAAGAAGGGAGAGAGAGAGGAGGGAGAGAAATTGCAATGGGTAATACAACAACGCTTACATGCCCCCTTCCCCCGGGATCTGTCTGCAAGGACATTCATTTGATTTTGCAAACTGTGGCCTTTTCTGTATCATTTTAGTCCCACTTCTCTAGAATTCCGTTTCATTTCTGCTCGCAAGTTGTATGCTGCTTTTCATTGTGTTCCTAAAACGGCAATAGTTTTTTTTTTTTCTTTCTCAAAAGGCTGCTTTGCAACTTTGTGCTTTCTCTCACATTAGCAAACGGTGGAAATTTCCACTGACGCACTGTTGATAACTGAAGGAGAAGTGGGGGCTGGGAGGATGAGCTGTTACAGCATATCTTTATGACTCCTCTCAGGATAGGTATTTTATCTGAGGATACAAAACTGCTGTAATTGAGGACAATGCAATTAAAAAAAAAAAGAAACAGCATTTTTCAACATAACAAGCAGCAATTGCCTTGCTCTGCCCCCCCCCAAAAAGAAGGAAAAGAAGGGCAGCATAAAACATACTATTCCCTCATTAAAGAAAGAGACAAGAAACTAATGGCTGCAAAAGAAACCACCAGAAGTGAAAGTGCAATCTCTGAGATGTAGAATGTTTCCCCCAGAATATATGTATTTATTTCATCTGTTCTGAGATGTGTTTGTTTTTTAAACCCACCTCTCAATGAGGCACGCAGCAACCTTTTAAGCCAACGAACTATGACCTGATACACGGTGTTGTGGCTACTATTTGTTTAGCAAACAAAACCAAACCCCGGTGAGATTTAAATACGGGGGAAATACAGGAAGGCAGGAGGGAAACCACCTCTCTCTTGCAAGCACAAATCGGCAAGAGTTGAGGCTCTCCAGGAGTCAGCGAGTCATCGGGGGAGAAAGGCAGGAAAATTCCACTGATGCGCTCTGAGACCACAGTTTTATTTTTGTCGTTCTGCCGTACCGTAAATAGAAGGTCGATTTAAATACAGGACAGCAGACTCACTATCTACTGAAACATCATATTAAAACAGTGCATTAACGGAAAAGTAAGCAATATCATATGACTGCAAAAAAGGGAAGACTTGCCTTTACATATGAAATAAAAATGCTGAATTTCCTTCATTCTTCTCAATGTATCCAAGCCAGAAATTGTTTGAACTTTGAGTCCTAAGGACACTCAAACAGTTTGCTTTCAGATGGACATTCTTTGACTTCCAAGAATCCTGAAAAGCACCTGGATCAAAACTGTCTTTTAAGCCCTCCTGGAATATGGCTCTAAGGCTAGGTGCAATGTGCCTGGAGAGGCGAGGGGTAGCACACACAGGACTTGGAGGAGGCTGTGTGATGCCACAGCTGGGCCTGGAAAACGTGTGTATGCATAACCATGATAAGCGTGAACTCAGTTACCTCTCCTGCTTTCAAGATAAGTCTGAGTCAGCTTCGCCAGTGGGGAAGCGGAAATATAAAGGAAAGAAAATGTTCTGGTAAACAGGTAGAGCACCTAAGAAAGAGATAGAAAACAGTCTGGAGGGAAAAAAAAAAAAAAAGGCACTGGTATTCTTGTGAAAGCAGCTGCACATTCGTTCTCATTTAATTAATCCCAGGTTAATGAAGGCATTTTGCTACCCGAATGATCACCTCGTCTTCGGGCCCACTGCGCTTACTCTGCAGAGGGGCAGCTCGCTCTTCTTCCCAGCTCTCGTGGCAGCTACTCTTCCTCAGCAGGGCAAGCAGCCAAGTTTATGCTCTGAGAGATTTCCAATTTGTAGCTGGAAGGACTAGTTAACATTTTACGTTTAGCTTTCAAAAAGCATATATGGAACAGATTAAGTCGCCTGAAAATTACCAGGACAGCAACTGGCAAGTACCAGAATAAAACCAAGAGCTGCACCCACTAACTAGACTGTGCCACAGGAGTGATGCAAATAATCCACAATGAGCAAATATTTGGGGCAAAATTATTTCTTGCCATCCAGAGTCTTCAGAAATTTTATTTGCCAATTCTAGACCCGGATGCCTGTTATTACACTAATTAAATAACGGAAAGGCATTTTGCAGCGCTGCAGAAAAATAAAAGAAAAAAGTCTTACTGTTGCACCGCAGAAGAGAAACTAGTCTGACCTATTCTGCATATCTGAGAAGTCACTGGATACTTAGGTTTGGTCAGCTCTCACTGGGGTAGCACTTGAAAAGTCTGCTCAACTGTAACAAGTCGGGCTGTAGCTACACAGGAGGCATTAGTTCTGTGTGGGTCACATCTTGGCTTCTGTATAATACAAGGCTTAAAAAAAAAGAGAAAAAAGAAAAAAAAAGAAAAATCCCATCCCACCAAGATCATTACTTAAGAGCAATCCCTGCATTTAATCAACGTGCTTACACAAGGATGCTGCAGAATTTAGAGCACGAGGCAATGATACTGGTGCTTTAACAT